CATAAACAAATTCGTGCACTTTTAAAGAATTATATTTTAACACATACCTAACAAAATAAACGTAAATTTGTATTTATCAGTATTATTTAAGATTAAACTAACACAGTTAACCAATGATTAATTTACAGGTAAACAATAAAATATAAAAATAGCTAAACAATAAAATTAATTATTAAATAAACAAAAATAATTTTCAAGCGAACACCAACAAGATTTACCCCTGCATCTCATCTTTGAACCAGACCAACTTTTACATAAACAACGATTTCTGCATCACCGATAATTCAACACAGTACATTGAAATTTAACAGCGCAATCTTGGAAACAATCTGCCAGAAACGTTCTCAGCATTTCGCCGCAGTGTACTTTCATTGATACAGCGCGCAAAGTGCCTGCACATCGGTATCCGACGTTTGTAAAACAAGTTGGATAACGTTCCAGTTAATTATCGGCGAATAACTTCGGCATAGTTGGGCCGGGGCATGTTTCGAAGATCCTCCGGCACGGAACTACTGTAAACGCGTCAAGACATGGACACGAGGGACGCGATTGCAATGCACTTACCAGACAAGTGATAGGCGCGAGCACGACCCAGCTGAGCCACCAATAACCGCGTAGCAAAAATTTCGGCTATGTTACGCAGGAATTTGTTGCAGCCGTAACACCAGCCTACCACGCCGACCTCGGCAATGCCGATCAATAGTATAGCCCAAGAAGCCGTGTTCCAGTCCATCAGCGTGAATAGGTAAATACCACCGTCGAACACCATCGGTATAGCGAGGAGCCAGCAAGTGACGCATATCCCTAGTACTACGTAGGTCTCGTGTTTTCGTAAATCTGGTCGCAGGTCCAATATGGCGGTGTTTATCGCCTGCACGCCTGCGAACTGTGTATCGTAAAAAGCAACGACCGACTGTGTTACTCGGGGATTCGATGCTCGCCCGCCGGGGGATTCTCGTTACCCTTCCTCCCCTTTTACATCCTCTTTTTTTCTCTCCTCCCTCTCTATCCCACCCTCTATTTTTTCTATCTTTCTTTCTCTCTTTTTCCTTTTTTTTTTTTTTGACGCAGTCCGTCTTAATTACCCTTCAACGTGCTAGCTTGAGGGAGGACAGAGGAGAAGGCATGTAGAAAACAAAGGCTCTTTCGCTCCCTTTCCCGGTGACTATCCCTGTCCCACATATCTTACCTTCTTTCTGCCTCGCTCGTTTACCTTTCCACGGTCTCTCATTCGAAGGAAGGGAAAAAACGAGGGGAGGGAAGGAAAGACGAGGACGAGAAGAAAGGTGTGGATTTCACTGGGACGGCAAACCATAACTCTTTCCATGATATACGAGCCCCGAGGCGGGAGAGACGGTAGGCGATGCAAAAGTAACACGGGCACGATCGTCTGGCTACTTGCGAGCACATTTTCGCCCGCAGCTCTTTTGACGAATACAGCGACTGGCGTTCCGGTTCTCCGGGGCACTTGAATAGCGCCTTCTTAGCCGGCTCGGTAGGACGAAAAATTTTTGCGTTCTTCTTCTTCTTCTCACACGCACGGAGGCTGACGCCGTACAAAGAGCAAGGCCGTACTTTAAACTTTAAACAACATGGAAATACGATGCTTTTCATTTTCAAGAGTCTTCACGCCTCACTGCCTATGCCTTTTTCTTTCATTCTTC